CCAGTCCAATGCTAACTATATAATTGAAATAATATTCTAAAATGGCCGTTAAAGTGTCTTGGTAAAATATTTTCGGAATTCCGTTAGTTCGTAGACGACACCTCAATGCTTTTACAAGACCAGTCGCCAATAGTATTTAGAAATAAGTAATAGAATATCAGTTTTAATGGTCCCAAGACTGGGTACATGATTTTAGTGAATATTACGAACGTTTCGCCCCAAGGTTCAGTGATATTGCTTACTGGCTATGTTTTAAATATTATGTTTTTTGTAAGATATATGAAGTAAGAAAATTTATAGATTACAAAAAACACTTAATGCAAGAAATAAAATCACTCTATGGACTTGAGGTGCTTAAATAAAATTGCATTCGTAACGTTACACTTCTGAATGTTACACCTACGTTTTTCAAATGCCAATGCCTAAGGAAACCTGAAAACAAATTTAAAAATAATCACTCAAATAGATGTACTTCCAAAGTGGTTTTGTGCATCAAGATAAGATTAATCTTGATTTGTTAGAAATTGTTTAACAGATTTGAACACATATCTGTTTCAGGTGCAAGACGACGTGGAATGCTCAAGGGAAGAAAATATGGATAACCCCAGACTGCTGCGAGCCTCAGAGTGCCCATTGATGAACAGTTATTAAGATTAAGTGACTCGACACTCTCGGAAAGGAGCGAAAACATTATTCGCAGGACAGAACACAGGGGAAGCCCGCCATCGCCGGATTTTTAATTTTTTCTTTTGTCACGATTCTGTCATCTAAAGTGCTGGTGTTGAGGGGTGTGTGTATTTGAAACATCTCGTGTTTGACGGTTGGATTTCTGATTAAGAAATCACCCATATTTATTTCAACTTAAATTTTGTTGAACGCTTTGATGATTCTGACGTTTTGATTAAATAAACAAAAATAATGAACAGCATTCAAGCGAAGGCGGAAATACGTAATTTTCGTGTTAGTTTCCTCGTCGATGAACTAATTCAATCACTAGGCTCCCAATATGAATATACTTAACCAACGAAACATGCTCAGTTGTGCATCTTTAGTTTATGGCCATCTGCATGAATGAGGTAGAAGAGTTGGACGCGGTTTGATTTCAGGCGCGTAAGCTAATTTCGATTTGTCCCCTGTGCCCAATGGTATGGCCTAAATTTCGCTTCTACCCCAACAGAGCGGTATCAAACATTTATGTTGTAGAGTCACGAAAAAAATTACGAAGTTGGAAAATATATAATCGGAACCCTGTACCACTCGTCAAAAGCTGATAATTGTGTGCACCGCCATATATAAAGGCTTACACTGAAATAAGGTTAATGTTAGGTACCGCTAATTATAGCACCTATGGTATTTTTATTGGTCGTGCATCAACGACATATTAGAAAATTGAATGTAGTTTACAAATTATTTATGAATTTATGCTAAATCACTGCAATTTATAAAAACGTTATGCGCGCTCTGTGCATTAAACTAGACAGTATAAAATATAAATGAGAGATTATTGCTGATTGAAACTCGACCTCCGACCACAAATTAGCTTAAATTTCTTTTGTTATATTTCCAGCAATATAATGACATCAAGGTCACTCTGTTCTTAGTTAACGGACTTGATCAATATGGGAAACAAGACCCTCGAAGTAATAAATAAAACAAAAATAAAGAAAAAAAAAACATGTCACAAGCTGAGCGAAGTTCACTTCAAACATACGGTAGTGTCAAAATATCTCTCTCAGTTTTTACTTGTATTTCCTAATGGATTCTCAAGAGACGCATTTCTCTGTCGGGTCCTCTCATCTAAAGGTAATGGCCATCTACGTTCTCATTATCGGTCTGCTTTTCTCCCAAAGTTATCTTGAACAGAATACCCATGCCGAGCCCTGTCAGTCAACAGAGCCTCCTTTCCCAAAGCACCAGGCCTGGCAGAAAGAGCTAGCGATACAGATTCACCGCCCAACCTCCCAGCTTTCTCATTGGCTCCTGTAGATCGGCCCTGCTGACGTCACTGGGCATGACGGTAAGGAAGGCAACAGACAAACAGGCGCCGGTATCACGCCCTCGCACGTTCTCCGGTTGTTCACAAGCAAGCATGAGTGCCTTGCTTTCTTGCGACATTCTTTTTTTTATCCTTGTGCCTCCCTTTTTTTAACCTTTGGCCCTATGTTGGCTTCAAAAAGTAGAAGCTTCGGAAAGTTATGGCTTGAGTGACATTTCAAATTGTACCAATTGAAACGAACACGAAAAAGAATGTCCGCGTTTGGGTTGAGCGTGCAGTTAGTTTGGTTTCAACTTGTGCAAAAGTATACGTGACCTGTGTGCGTTCCTATTGGATTTTGGATAAAAAGCTTCACTGTACCAGATATCGAGGTAAGGCGAGCACGATTTGATGATTTGTTGATACAAATACTGACAAATGCAGCACGAATGCTTGATATCTCTTGCAGACTGAAGCATGCCGGATAAAATTATTATAATCTCGGTAATCGCTATACGTTCCACCTTAGCACTGTGAATAACGTTCTTTATAAAACAAGAGCTCGTCTTCGAAAACATTTTAGCGAACTTCGATCTCGCATTCGTTCTACCAGAGTATCTGTGTGTACTATAGCGGGTGTGTGTTTCCGAGGTGACTGGCTTTGAAGTACGAACTCTTTTAGCCTCCAAGGTATACAAATATACAGGTATACTTGTAAGTTTTTAAGTTATGTTCAGTGGCGTGATCAAACATTACATGGGTGTTCACTTAAATTTGAGAGGTGACTTCAACTTTCTACGAAATTATCATGCAGATTCGTTTAGAAAATGTGAGTGTGAAATCTCTTACTTCCGCGGCGCTAAACGTACTAGATGGTACTAAGGTTATCTGAAAAGGTGTAAATGTATCATTTGTTTATTACTTAAGAACTACTTGATATATGCTCGAGTGTGTCCAAACTTCACGTGTCAGCATCGTGAGTTTTAAATGCGAGCGTTGGTTAGAGCATTTTATAATGTGTCTTTAACATAAGTAACTTGCAGCATAATTAATTATAGACTATTCATCAAATGGAGATAATATCTAGCTGCCCCAGTAAAGGTATGGTCAAGACCTCTAGAAATCTAGGAGTCAATATTTTTTATAGGTGCTAATAACTCTCAATTCTTTACATATATATAAAATATAATGCTGCCTTGGTTATATTAAAGCGTGTTTTCAAGTTCCACTATGCTAATAATTGCATAAGGCTGCACGAGACTCGGGCCAATGCAAAATATGAGCTGAAACAAGGCGCCTGAAACTTGAGATCGCCAGTAAATAGTCAGCGTACCAATTTACTTAAAAACGAATGGACAACTTGAATACCGTAACCAACATTATGTTCTGCCTTAACGATATTATTTTAGGTAAAATAATAAGATATTCAGTGTATATGCAAGAAACAGCGAGGTTTGTACACTGAACAAATATTCTGCAGAAAAATATTTTGTGGAGCTAGTTTTATCGCATATGAAGAGGAATTCGGCGAAAGAACAAACTATCACAATGCACGCGCTTAAACCTGGATCTGACGTTCTTTTTTTGAAGATATCAGTTCATCTTGAATTTCTTCAACTACGAATGTTTAATTGATCTTAAGATGTAGATGACGCCGAAGCCAATCTAAACGATGCGACAGTTGGACATATTTGTATTATACTGCGGAAGTGGCCCTAGCCACAATGATAAAGATTCACAGCGACAGCTTGTAGCTACAAATATTAGCAGTATTCACTGTTTAAATACCGCGCAGCAATAAAATAATTTTATGCGTTCTGTAAAACCATTTTTATTGGGATTTCATAACAAAGGTTGTCGCTGTTCCACGCTAACTATCAGAACGTAAAATATACCACTGTCCAAAATAGGACATATTGACTTAAGAACGTGTTTGTAACATTGACTGGCAAAAGAAATAATAAAACCAACTCGGGACAAGGGACGACGTCCCTTGTCCCGAGTTCGTTTTATTTTTTTTTGTTGCCATACAAAATAGAAGCCAAAAATTTATAGAGTGGAGCGTATTGTCCAGACTATCAAGCGACGAAAATAGTACATAACACTTAAGTTGTGAAATGCACGACACAAACATTATTATTTGAACATGTAGTCCTTTGGGGGATGATTTATTTTTATGAGTATTACGTCGATGAATTGTTAGGGTACCGTCAACAAGAGAGGAAAATATCTATACATCAGATTTTACATAATTATTTCAACAAACGAACCTCTAATATGTAAATATTAGAAATCTACCCTTACATTGAAATAATATCTGCTTGCACTATTTACTGTAATTCGGAGAGCTTGGGCCTCCGTTATTCAGAGTTAATTAGACTGCACGTTTTCATAACACTAAAGCTAATTCCGTCATTTAGATATGCAACTGTTGCAACAACTGCTAGCGTGTTTAATCGCAGGTCGTACCAGAGCCATGCACTGTGGCTACAATTCGGTTTGCTTTTAATTATAAAAAAGTAAGTTACATTTGTCGGCTCATTCAATTCACCAAAATATTATCGAGGTTTCAAAACTATACCTTTCTGACATATGTTATAAATGTGTTTTGTCGTATATTTACATGTGCATTGCTTATTTCGATTTCAACAACTTCAATCTTGAATTTATTGCAGACAAGTGCTATTTCGCAATACTTTTTCTATATTCAGCAATAGTAGTAAAACGTGGTAACATACTTTTAAATGAAAAGTAATGTAGTTAGGCGTGTCAGGATCCTCGCAGTGGCCCTGTGTTTAATTTTGAATTTTTATTAAGAAACAGTTTCTGGTATCTTTTAGGCTACAATCAATACAGCTCGCGCTTAGTTGCTATGAGGTGGAGAGGTGCTGACAATACAATATTCCCCTGATAGCTTAAAGTAATTGCAAATGCCTGATGTATGACCGCTGGTATTTCCTGGTGGAACTATCAGCTCATAATTCGAACATGTCAGACAGTGTAATATGAAAGAGGTGGTACTCACGTGCAATGTAGCTGTTCAGTCCTGAAAAGATAATCAAACAATAAAATTAGCACAACAACCAAATATTTGGGCATAGCATGATATTGCACAGCATTGGAAAGACACAGGATACGAACGACAAAGCATAGATGACAGATATATATATATATATATATATATATTAAGAGATGCAGCTTGCGATTTCTGTAAGAAAAAACAAATTCAGTTTAGACCTCATTTAGTGTAAGCCTCAGCAATTTTGTCTATTTTATATCTCTACAGGCTTAGATAGGCCCAAGGCATCTCAAAAGTAAACAAGCCATTATTAATTTTGTGTTCGCAATTTTACGTATTCAAATAATTACGGTCGCTTTACTCAACGAAAATGCACTTCTTTTTTTATGCCAACAAAATTACTTAGGCTTACAGTAGAGCGTAAGACATCCGCCCATCGCTCTTATTCACAAAGAAAGATAAATATGAAGACAGAAGCGAAAAGAAAACTAGATGACAAGACAGCTTTCCGAGATTGTCGAGGAGACAATAAACACACCACTTCCAGAAGCGAATCGGTTACTTTGATGTCTAACCCTCTCACGCTCGCTAAGTAGTTCTTAAAAATAAACCCCGTGTTGGAGTACACACTAAACATTGTAACACCCATAATCGTGTAAAAAGGGTGTAGGAAGGGTGTAGGTTAGGAAAAACACCCTTTTTACACACTTTTTACACGATTTCTGAATATCGGTTGGTGTAAAAAGGGTGTGCTGACGTTTTACGCCCTTTACACGCCCTCTTTATGCCCCACTTGCAGCGATGGTGTCTGAAATCGTGTAGAAAGGGTGTATGGGCGAATTTTACGCCCTTCATCCACACGGTGTGAAACGGGCGTAATGATGATGCTGTCAAATACACCCATGATTTCTTGGCCGTTCATATGTATTGCTTTGGTGAAACTGTTGTTGATGTACGGCGGTACAAACATCGAGTATAATTAATCGCCACACGGAGTCGCGTATGATTAGGAAATGCTAGAGAATAGTTTTTGCAACTCCTATTGAACTCTTCGTTCGACACGAGCCTAAAATTACGTTTTGCGCGTGCATCAGTTTTTTCGGTTCAACCTTGATTATAAAAAAAACCCATCTCCGCTCGCAAAAAAAAAAAGAATGAAGACGTGTAAATATACAACCTAGGCAGCACACACTATTGCGCTGCTATGGAATTAAATCGGAAAGATTGTGCCGATATTATTTTGGTCTAGCCAATATCTGAAAAATGGGATGGGTCGCGCCGACGCTATCCTGACATACCGTACGTGGCGCCGTTTTTGGTTGACTGTCAAGAGTGTCCTGTGTGAATCGGCTATGCCGGCGAGGTATTTCTATTGCTTGACTGTCTAAAATCCGACGTTAAAAAACAGTACAAAGCAAGATTAAGTGAGATAGAATCTGCTTACTTTTAACCTGAGAAAGACTTTTTAAGCTGAAGACTTGAACAAACTGTGGCGACCTCATTTCGGATATTACAAACTCACCTGACTGGGTTTCGCACTACTTATAGCACCTTCACTGATACTTTATTTTGGAGTGTAGCTCTGAAGAAACAATGTCGCAACACAATCGAAAGTGCCGGATTAATGACGCCCCCAGGGACGCGACTCTTATCTCTGCGTAATGACACCAAAATATCTAGCTTTCCGACGCTTTTTTTTTCGGTTTTTCTTTGGTACACGTGAAACCGCGTCTTCGGCGGCGTTAAAAATGTTTTTTCGTATTTATCTTGTGATCTCGCGGTCCGTACCAGATCATGCGCGTCTACAGGAGTAGCAGTTTGAGACGCTCAAGGTTGTACTACGCAAAGCAAGCCCTAGCGAGTCCGATTTCGCGACCTTCCCTGGGCAGGGCAGGTGGCAATACAAAGCAGCAGAGGGAGATTAGCGGCTTTGTCCAACCCCCTTTGACCTCGTCTTCTGATAAGCCTCGAAACCTTCTTTTGTGTCTTCGTGTTGCTCTGAGCGAGTGCGAAGTCCACTTCTAGCAAATCAGAGGGGTGGCGCAAAACACGTGATCGCTCTCCGTAGGGCAAGGACGCTTGGACGAAAATTTGTCACGTGATTCGCTCTGCCGCGCTGATGGGCTACTGGGGCCGTAGTCTTTGCCGTATGCCAAGTTATGATGAGTTGTAGGGGCCACGTAGGTTCGGTTTACAAAAAGGGGGGCGCCCGTCAGTGTATTCCTGTTTTTCGTGCGGTTAAGTCGCAGCCGTGATTTTTCGTCGTGAACGGCCGGAATACATCCATGCCAAGTTTTCGGAAATGATCGTTTATTTCGTCGGAGTCCATGGAATTATTGTGCTGTATTTGTTGGATGCATTTCGACAAAGAGCTGCTCATCGGCGGCCGCGAGACTTCCGTTGAATGTGATCGACCGCCTTCAACCTCGGCATTGTGTTTGCGTTGTTTTGTGCTGCCCGAATCGGATTACGCATCTATAACGACAGAGAGGTGCTCATCGGCGACCGCGAAACTTCCGCTGAATGTGAGAGACCGCTTCATCCTCGACATTGTGTTTGTGGATAGTTCTGTGCTGCCCGAATCGGATTATGCATCTATCACGGATTACATGAGATCGCTGTTTTATTGGTAAGTACTCAGCAAGCATGCTTCTGATAGTAGTCCAAAGGGGCTATGTTCAACAAATGTTTCATTTCTCCTGAAAAGAAAAGGAAGTGACGGAAGCGACGATATCGCGTTTGATTGGTTGGAAGGTCAAAAGGCGAAAATAGGTAACTTTCGTCATTTGAACCTCTAACCAATCAAACGCGATATCGTCACTTCCGCCACTTCCGTTTATTTTTAGGAGTAACGAAACATTTGTCGAACATAGCCTCCCTGCTTCCGTTTCAATCGACCATTTTACGGTTTACAAACATGAACTGCCGCTTGCGTCCCAAGCAACTCCTGGTCGTACCGTCTTTGCAAGCTTGTCAGTTTTGTCCACGTCGCCAGTGCAAGGAAGCATAAACGTCACAAGAAAAGTACAGTTGGAGATTCAACTAGGGCCTTCGGTTGTACAATTTGAAAGGGTTATGAAGCAATGTCCGGTTGAAATATTCATGACCTTACACGCACGGACCGCCACTGGTTTAGAAGCGTCTCGGTCGTGGTGGAATTGCGAGGATAAAAGAGAACTATTTCTTTCTGTCTTGCCTTCGCCAAGTTTGATGTCGTGCGCGTGAACGTAGCTTTGCCCTTTGGCACGCTTGTAATTGCACGCACTTGCCCGCATAAGCAGAGACATGGCTGCGGCCAGATGACCTGCTTGCAATCGTCTATAGAGAATTTTGTAGAACCTGTTAGAACCTTGATTAAAAAATAAAAAGTGAACCAGGCATTTGCAGTCATTTTCTCGAGCGCTCTTTTGGGTGTTGGTAATCGCGCCTTTTTTATTTCCCTTTCTGGCGGTGATACACACAATTTAGAGGGCGTACTGCGCAGACATAACGCCCTAATAAAAAGGTGTACAGTGGAATCACACCCTAATTGAAAGGTGTTCGGAATAACGCCGTCCTTTAAGGGTGTTAGGGGAAAACACCCTATTTTAGGGGCGTTAGGAATAACGCCCTTTGTTTAGGGCGTTTTGCTACACCCAAATGGGTGTTAGTTATAGGACAAGCCATTTACACCCACAAGGGTGTTACGATGTTAAGTGTGTACCAACGCGGCCTGACGGGCCGTATCACAGCCGCACATAAGAGCGCTTGAGCAGCCTATCGCGTGCACTTGGGAACTTTTTTTGTGAGCTTATTAGACCCAATGAACCTCGAAGTGCGCGTGACGGCCAACATAAGAGAGGCTTCAGGCATACGCGCCGGAAGTTCCAAGACAGAGTCCTCGTAAAATCGCTTGGCAGTTTAGAAGGCTCAAGTACGAACTAAAGAATACCTATGCAGAATTGAGTACTTGGGATTCCGACATTGCGCGGAACTCTTTCAATATTCAACTTTAAAGAGACCCGGAAGCCAGAGAAGGGGAAACGCATGAGTGGACGCCCAATTTTAATGCAGGAACGCCATTTTGTTAAGGTACATTGCGGTTCCCCAAAAATGAAAAAAGAAAGGTTGTCGTAACCACTCAAGTGAAAAGAAACAAAACATCTATTGGAACACGATACTGCCGAAAACACCTGCAGCCGTTCAACATAGCTATACGAACAAAGATGAAACATATGTGCCATTAGAGGTTTGCGGTATCAATGCTTTAGACTTGTATGTCTTTACTTAGAGCGCCGGAAAGAGATTTCAGGTGTTCTATCTACTCTGTGGAGCCGAAAGAATAGATTCTCTCTTTTTGGGGTTGTTCTCTGAAAAGGAAAGGGTGACTGTTCTCACAATACCTGAAGCATACAGTTCAGCTTGTTGATGAAATGTATATTATAACTTATAACAAATATTGTGCAGGCAAATGTGTTTGTAAAGGTTTATTTGTTCAAGGTTAACACCCTCCTTTGGTTGGTACTTCTATCTGCATCCTTGAGTTGGAACTTGCTTGGGATTACAGCGAATTTCGTATTATGAATCCGTGGTAAGGGCTTAAATATATTTCTCGGATATAAAAAAAATCTTAAATTCGTAGGGGTTTTAGACTTATTGCAGTGATCGGTCGACATAACGTCAAAAACTGAATTGCAGTCAACTTAAAATATGTTCGCTTCGAAATGTCAACAACCTGGAGGGAAAATTTAAGTTAGAAGTTGCTATCACTCAAAAACCTCGATTTCAGTCCAACGATGCGATTACCATTTTGCTTCATATGTCATCAGTTATTGATATTAGCGGCGCAGCGACCTTTGAGTTGTGCCTAGTAGAACTCCGAATGCGCTTTTCTGTACGACTCTTCAGCCTTTGTTTGTTTGAACCCATACGAAGCACTTTATTGCCTTACGACGCGTGGCTTTCTTTCACCATCGATATTAGCTAGGGAATGAGCATGAGAGTGTGCAAGTTTGACTGCTACTCGTAACTTGTTTAGTTAAGCAAAC